CAAAGTCCGGCTTAATTTCAACAAGCAGTCAATGGGAATGATCAAAGTCATTTTGCTAAATGTCAATTCAATCAAACATCGTTTTACTCGATGAAAACTGAGCATTTCTCTGCGGTTTTGAAAATGAAGCATGCGATTTGATTTTCTCCGGCGATAATGTGTGTGTGTGTAGCGAATTTAATAACTTTGTTTACAGAAATGTTTAGTGTATGACAAACATAAACATGGATATATTCATATCACTCTATAGAGTTGATTTCTTCCGATTCTTCTTGATTGGTTCTTTAGTAAGGGAAAAAGAAAGTGTGTAAGAGATGAAAATAGCAAAATTTGGTATAGAAAACGCTATAGCGTTCGTTTTCGACAAATTGATTCACGGACTCAGGGATATTTTTAAAATTTCATGACAAAATCTGATGCCAATCTCACTTTTCCTACCTTGTTCAATGTTCATTGTCCCAGAATTTCTGAATCAGAAACCGTCTGTCTATTTTTTAAAGTTCCCATTCAAGTGTGCTAATTCCAAGTACACAATTTCAGTGTTAATCGATCGATTGAAGAAAAAAAATTCAATCTTGATAATTTCATAGCGAACATAAGACACACTTCATGTTCTATAACACACATTTTACATTTGACTAATCATTCAACATCAGATTCGGTATCGATTTCCCTCCGTTCTAAAAATATCGTTTGAAATCATACGATCAATCAATTTCGTGCTCCGTTTTCTTTTTTCGTTTCATTTCTGGTTGTCGCCTTGCATCAAGAAAATTGCAATCTCTTCACACATAACCGGAATGGATTATTAATGTTCCGTTTTTTTTGTGTAACATCTTCAAAGCGAACTGATTTGATCTTCATCTCTATGCCACATCCACATTAGTGTGCTCTTATTTGTTACGAGAAGAACGGAGAAAATGCATGAAATTCCCATCTGCAATCTTGGTTGTTGGTAACAGAGAGCACGGTTGATATATGCGCACTTACGCGTAAAAAGCGAGTGATGCCTCATATTGCTAACCGAACATGAATAACGAGTGACAGGACCACCGAAATCGAATAATGCAGCATGGTCAGTATGTCATCCAGTTTCGCTTTTTTTCTGCCGCTGCTTGTTAACCAGCACTTTTCTGCCCCGAACGATGAGAGAAATCGGATAGCTTGTGAACGGTGTTGATAACGCCATGCATATTTGATGACGTTGACTGCAGTATCAATATCTTGGCAAAACCGCCTAAGCGAAAAAACATACATCTCACCAAAGCAATTTTTCTTTGCACAGAAAAAAAAACAGCAACGAAACACGGCGGAGTGAGAGAAAAAGTTCAATATTTGCTCTGGACTACATAATGTAATGATGAAGCGATTTCGGGTGAAGAAAATAAATAAAATTCGATACGCACGTTGCCAATTCCTTTTCATCGCTCGTTTTTTTCCCTGCTTCTCCTTTCGGCTCTCGTATTCGACACGTTAAACAATGATTTATATGTAAACACTTGTTTGGGTTACGAGTTCAAATGTGAAGAAGAGGTGAAGAAATAAAGTGACGAAACGAAATCACATTCGACTGTATCAACCTGATTCAAAACAATGCCTTTGACCGAGACACACACTCACACATGCCAAAACAGCGAGAACATTATCATGGGAAACCGAATATGAATGCAAAATCATTGAGCAGAAAAACTAGACACAATCATCGCCAGTGTCCGCAGAAATAGCAAATTGTGGCATAGATTTATGTATGATCTTTACTTGTTTGATATTCAATTTATGCCGATTCGAACGTTTTATGAGTGAACGTGACATATTTATTTCAATCATTAGACACAAAAAGCACACACACAACATTTTATTGTTTCGGTGAGTCCCCTTTTGTGTTCGTTTCGATGCTTTGATTAAATATTCATTTCATTTTGTCACTGACTCAATGACACACACCGAAAAAAAAATTTAATAAAATCAGAAGTATCAAACTGCAACACTTTGCCCGGAAGCGTCATTCAATCCATCAATCGTCGTGTTGAAAAGTGATTTAATGAATTAAAGTTGGGAATTCAACCTGATGTCACCGTGGGTCTATGGCTGACTATAATTGCATGATCGTGTGTGATGCTTTCGAGAATTTTGCTTTGTGATTAAAAATTATTAGACAATCATTTAAAATGTGATTTGAAATGGCACTGTTCCATCACGAAAGGTGCACCAAAAGTCGGTTCTTTTTTCCATTCATTCATTCAAATCAGACACACACGAAGAAAAAAGAACACATGTGTAATTAACAATTGTAGTAATTAATTCCGTTTGTATTTCGATGTTCTATTGTTAGTTGCCATTATCTGTGTGACGACAACCACATCTCTTGACCAAATTAAAGGCCATATTCTGGTCATAATGTTCAATAATCACTCATTTTTCTATGCACTATCGGGAATATCGTTTACATTGTATGGGCAGGGATTTCATTTAGTTCAGAGTGGTGATTCTTTTGTTCGACTTCGCTTATCGCTGGATATTCCGATTCACCCGCAAAACGCAGCGCATTGTTCGTATTTCCATCCCTTTGTGATTTGATTTTGATCGACCGACTGACAAACCGAAAATGAAACAATGCCGCAAAGATCATAAACAGGTGACGCTCCAATTTAAAACCCATCACATTTTCACAGTTCGATAAATGGGGTTTTCATTTTCGGCTCTGAAGAGAAAAAAAAATACAATAGAATGACACTTTGACCGGAGCAGGGGTTGTTTCGATGCATTCAATCGAATTTTAATAGCTAGGACATTTGACAAATGCACACGTATTCATCAATCGACAAGCGATCCACCTCAATAATCAACGAAATACAATGCAGTTAATAAATAATTGAATTTTAATTGGACGGAATTGCACCCTCTAGGCAAAAAGAGAGGTAAAACGAGAGAGTTGAACAAAAAAAAAACAAAGCCAATTTTCCACCCGAAATTCTCGACTTCCATTCAGCATTGAGAAGAAAGAAAAAAAACGTGTTGATTTTTCTCTCTGGTCGAAACAATAGAGAAATGGGTCGTCATGAATTCAAAGGCGAGAAAATCGCTTTCAAAGAGATTAGTGATAATAACATGTCGAAAGAGTGTGGCGCCAAACATCTTCCGCAAACAAAATGATGTTGCGGTTTTCTGGTGCATCATTTTTCAAACCACGACAGAGAGTGAGCATAAGGTGGCTGTTGCTCTCGCTCCAGTCAGAGAAAGACAGAGGCGCATACAGAGTGAAAAAAGACGAGCAAATCTAAAAACCTAAATTGATGCGATTTCAAACAAACCAAATCAAACAGATTGGACCCGTTTCGCTTGGATGATCTACAGTCTCGATATTGTACATACAAAAGAGCAATAGCACAGCAAATTGATTTCGTGAAATCATTTTAATCGATCACATCATCCACAACAAGAATTGGGTAGTGATGTAACGAAACGATTTTCTTTCGTCTTTTTTTTTCATTTTTGCTGTTCGGCGATGAGTTTCAAGCATAACAGGAATTTCAAGTTGCAATCAAAATAAACCGCCTCTTTTTCTTTCTTCTTTTATGGATTCAATTGCGCGATCGCGAATCGATTCGTGTAATTGGCAATTTTGGTCTTTGAATGAAGACATCGAGTGTGAAGGTATTCCATTGGCAATTGGTTTTATGTCGCTTGGCCATTATGTAATTTAAAAAGCGGTTCAGGAAGGCCGCAAACGCAAATGGCATTTTTCAAATTCGTTTCATTTACATTGTTGCAGGCAGTTTCAGTTGTACTGAAAATTGAAACCCGTTTTTTTCTGTCGTCTTCTCGCCGTTATCTCATCTTATTGCTCTCTTGTATGGATCGTTGTAAAACAAAAGATACAATCAAAACAATAGCACGCCAAATTCATTTCCATGTACAGTGTTGCGAATGAAACAGAAGAGAAAGAAATCATCGCGCAATGATAGCGACCATATCACATTATTAACAATTTAATTACCTTTTAACTGAATTTTTTTACCTTACTTACCTTTTTTTCCATACAATCATTCGTTCTCATTCATTTGCTGGTGAAGATTTTTTTTGCCTCTCTTAACTCTCCGATTAAAGTTGTGTTCCTTCAAATTAAAAATGCGCACTTTTTGTTCCATCGTTTTTTGTGGCGTGTGTGAGTGCGCGCAATTTGGTGTTTTTTTCAACCGCCAGCAATTTTTTATATCGCTGTTTTTACACACATAAAAATCTAATCCAAAGTTTATTGCATTTAATTGATGTTTGTCATGCAAAATCTCATTGAACTGGCTTCATCCTGCGATTACAAAGTGCGATTGTGCACTACGCCGCACACAACAGCCATCGAATGGTAGAGAAAGAATGAGAAAGACGGAGAAAATAGTCATGGAACACACCACACTATATTTGTATTTGTGTGTGTTTTTTATGGCATATATATCCACGTTTTAATAGTCATTTTAATTGAAACGGATTTGCTTAAACAAAAGCTCATAGATTAGATAAAAATCTTGCAATCGTCCGTTGGCAGTTGTTGTTGAAAATTATTCCAATCAACGCGGGTAATCGGTAATTATTTAAACAAAGAGTGTTGCTTTGAACATGAATGGGCCGCGTGGCACTCTTCTCTTTTTCGACGGATTCCGTCTTAATTTTTGCATTATCGCTTTTCGTTTCTTTCTTCGGATTTATTTACAGCAGAAATCTGATCGATGTAAACGAATGCTAATTTACGGTTTGCACTCTGCAGCACAGTTTAATGGTTCCTTGAGAGATGAAGTGTGTTTTTTTTTGCGTACCGAAGCTACAAATCATACTCAGGGGAGTGAAAAACGAGCATACTTACTTACTATACTCACATAAAAGCCAAAAAAAGCATTGAGCTGTCACCTCATTACTTCCATCTCTGCGAGGCTCGAACCAACAACCGCTGATAATTCGCAAATAATTCGAAATGAAACTCACATTGAGATCATGTTTTTACCATGTAATTTTTGTTGCTTTATTTCATAATTGTAATAATAATTTATAATTTTTCTTTGTAAAGTGTTGTTTTAAGAGCTAATATCTGTATGTGTTTGCATTTCTTTCATTGAATTTTTGTTGTTGTTTTTAGTTTTTGTATCAATATTCCATAATTATGAATTTTCATAGTTAATTTTAATTTAGAGTAATACATTAATATCGCTTCCTCTTCCAGTTTCTGTTTTTTTTTATCGCGAGATTCTTCGTTCCTTTTTCCAGCTCGATACTTGGGTGGCAAGTGGCATTTTTTGTGGTGAAAATTGAGAGATTTACATGAAGAATCTTCTTTAAGGTTTAAATCAAGTTTCGATGCGGACATGACCCAAATTTCGATTTAAACAACTGTGCTAAGCACTGTTAGCAGCTTCGTTTTGAATCCAAGAAGAAATTGAATTAGGATTCGAATACTTTTCGATTTTTCCAGCAAAGATCTCGACATTTTGAACGATTTTTTCAAAAGAACACTGTGACCTATCACTGAAAGTTGTAGACTCTACGTATTAAAATCGTTCCATCAGTCTACTCAGTCACGGTGTTCTTTTGATTTTCCCGCTTTTGGAGATGATCTTCATTTTAAATTAAGATTCTCATTGGAGTTGTTTTTTTCTTCAATTGAATCCTGGTCATAGAAAATCCTTGTCAAAAGAATCTTCATGTCTAGAAAAGGGTTCAAATGTTCGAAAAAAATCTCTTTCCAAAGTGTTGACCGCCCAAAAAACTGCCACGAATTCGCATGTTCGGCATAATGCCTTAAACAATATACATTACATACATTTAGATTGATAATCAACATCGATGTCCAAATATTCTTAGCCAGTAAAAACCAATGAATTCATCGTTTTAGTACGATTTGCAATATTAGGAGAAGACACATTATAGCATTTACTATTGAGGATACATTCTTTGTAGTGGTTTTGTTTATTGATTTTTTGGCGAGTTCCATCAATAGAACCGTGGAAAAGAAATGGTTATGCCTAAGCCTACTAATTGTAAATAATATCATTGAAATCTGGAATGTATTCATTCGTATTGAAGAGGAAACAAACGAATGAATCATTTTGTGTGTGTGTGTGAATGTGTGTGTGTAATAAAAGAGCTTATATCTTACATCTACTAACATCTAAACAGCTACAATATTTTTTGTTAGATCCATTTAATCGAACATTGACAATGATGAGAACAATTCACTGTTGATCTCCCGTTTGGGAATATCCGAATGCTGGATCTTATTTACAACACAAATTTTATACAAATTGTTTTAAGTTTTTTTGATCGATTTTTTTTCGGGAATTGGTTAGAGTTTGACCGAGAGCAAAAAATTGCCGAGAACTGAGAGAAAATCGGTGCAGAAAAACTGACTGCATTAAACGAATCGAATTTGAGCTAGGACTTTTCGGGTATTCTCAAGAATTAAAGTAAAATGAAATGAAAATGTGATTGACTTGATCGAAAATCAAGTCAATGCGATCAATTCTGTTAAATTTGTCATCAAAAAAATTGTTAGTTGCAACTCCGGCACAAGAGCAAAAAAAAAATCTGTTTCATATTGAATCAGACATTAAACCTACGATAAAATCATAGAACTCTTCCTTAGTTTAGCTACTTCATTTAAATACTGAAAAACAATTACAATCAAGTTTATTTATCTGCTTTTTTCTTGCATAATTTTTTTAAAAAAATGAAATGAACGAATAAAACTAACAGCACTTGTCACAAAATAAAAATTAAAGACAAAAAAGTAATTGTATATTGAAATTCAGTTCAAAAACCATTCGATAGTTTGAACTGACTTGGATTAGCATAAGAGAAAAGAAAGAGAAAAAAAAACACAGTAGTTGTTTTGCATTAGAAAATCGTTTTGGTGAAGAACCGAGGAAGAAATAAAAAAAGAGATGAACAAAAGAGAATCGCGGAAATGAAAATGGAAATGGATCAAATATATTCATTTACTTAAACGTTGATGGTGCTGTCTTCGTCATCGCTGGGTGGTATGCTTTGAGCGCGTCGAGCTGGCGGGCTGCCTGGATTGAGTGGTGGACTCGGTGTTCTTCGTGGCGAATGATCACTGCTGCCGCCATTTGTGGTGCTGTTTCCATTGGCAGCCGAACCATTTAGGCTGCTGTTGTTATTTGCCGAATTTTGATAGTAATTGCTGAGCGATGACAGCGAACTTGAGGCCGATAAGTGCGAAAACGGAGCGGCCGGTGCTGGGATACCGCCCAATGAACCAAGCGTTGGCATTCCCGGATACAATCGATATGGTAGAGGTTTCTGCAGAGCAGCTGCGGCCGCTGCTTGTCGATAGTACAAATCAGCAGCTGACGGTGGGGCTCCTGGGGGACCTTGTCCACCGGCTGCTGCAGCGGCAGCCGCATACGGCCAAGCACCAATGTAAGGCGGTCCACCATACAATCTTTGGAATGCGGCATAGTTACCTACAGAAAGCGAAGGAAAAATTGCAATTTTTTTTTATTCTGACGATTTGCGCTAATTTCGATTAATTTCTACCGAAGAAATTCTTGTAATAAAATTTTACAGTTCTAAGTATTTATTTATGTTACTCTTAGATTAGATCCATAAAAAAAAACTTTAACTTACCAGCTTCAGCCAGAAGTTCGAGTCCAACAGCAGTTTGTCGTTTCCATTTTGTTCTGCGGATTAAAGAGAGACAAAAAGATGGCAAACGTTAATCAAACTTCGATTTGACTGGAAAATATGCTCTAATAAAAATCCGTCGCTGATTTTCTTCTCTTTAATGCGCAACGAAACAAAGAAATAATCGGCAATTATCGTCGTTCACAATTTTCATACTGAAAGGAATGCATTTAGTTTAATGCAGTTTGAAAATCATTGCAGCATAAGAAAGCAGAGCCGCGCGAATGGAGAAAATGAGAAATCATGATCGCTTGAGGACGTACGAAAACCATCATCACGAATAAATCGTAGTTTTCATACGGTTCAACCATTTTTCGTAAGCAGCAATTACAAAAGCAGTTGCATTAAGCGGGATCCGGGCCTCGGTCCGCTTTCAGGCGCTTCGCGATTTGCGCGAGCAATGTAATTTAACGATTTTTTTTTAAATGCAAAATTGTGCACATTTGGCTAATGCTAATAAAAATATGGACAATCGGTTGCGTCGTAAATTTTTGCCCCGGAATCCGTTGTTGCCGTGCATTGCGATAAACATCGCAGAGAAAAAAGAATACATTTTCGCCAATGATGAATACGGTAAAGTTATTGGATGCAACCGTCGTGGTGCTGTGGCTGTTGCCGTTGTCAATATACTTCAATTCAAACCGTTTTCTGTTTAATGCACCACATTGTATGGTGAACGATTTGCAAATGAAAACGCCAAAGAACCGAAAGAAAGACCATACTACAAAACGGCCTCAGTGCGACTGAATAACAGACATTGTACGGCACATTGTACGGCATGTAATTACGGGAAACGTTTATTTGAGGCGGCTCCAAACATTTACCGTATTTATTCTCACAAACGAATTGTACCCACACACTCGGCTCGACTCACCATCACCCAGCCAATGTCGGCTTATTTGCTCATTTTATCGCGGATTTGTTTTCTGTTATTTTCTGTGTTTACCATTCAAGACTCGTTGCTCGTTTCGACAGCGCTTTTTTTACGTAATAGTTTTGCGTCAATGCCAGAAGAACAATGAATGGTGAATATCCATCGATTGCGCTGGCAAAAAAAAAATCAGGCATACGAATTTTTTCTCTTCATATATTCTTTATTCCGTTCTTGGCCTTTTCTTCATTCGCCACATATATATATAATAATGATGGATTGGAAAGCGAATAAGATCAAGCAGCGATAAATCGCACACCACCACATCACTCTCGCGCTCCCGCCATTGCCACTGCTATGGCCAAAAGACACAAATGAACACGAAAATGCATAAACGCACATTTGCAATCGTTTAAGTCTCATAGCATTTACGTGTTTTTACCAAATTATAGGCCAATTATTGTTGAACGTTGGATTTTCGTTTGGATTATTTTGTGCTTGTAACGAACACTAGGCTTTGCATACGATATGTTACTACTTTCCGTTCATTCGACTTGTTCTTTTTTTCTCTCGGCTTTTGTATGGCTACGTTTAGTTCAAACACCATTTGATGATTTCAAAACATGTCAGATGGTTCCGTTAATTTGCGTTGGTGTTTTCACGACGCTAGAACCGACCAAATAAATCGCATGTGAAACGATGACGACAACAACAACAAATAATTTACATGCACCTTTCCTTCCATTCCATTTTGTACGATTGACCATTTAAATTGCTCTTGAAAGTAGGACGTAAAAACTAAGTGCAAAATAATCGACATAGTTAAATGTTACAAGGGAAATCAGTCGGAATTAAGAACAAAGGAAAATTTTGATTTAAATCCGAAAAGGGTTTCAAGTTGAAAATTCATCTAACGGAAAAGGTTTCGAATAATAGTTTTTTTTTTCGATTCGAAAAGTGTTTAGAAATTCTTGAAAATAAAAACAAAATTTCAATAATTAACTGAGGTGACCTTTGAACTTTTAATTTTAATATAAATTATTCAAGATATCCGCCGTTCGCTTGACACTTTCTCACTCGCTCAGTTCAAACCGTCAAGTTTATAGTGGAGAGAGGAGAAAAAACGCAAAAATCTATTTTGTTGATATTTGCATATTTCTATTGATTAAGTGCATTCAAGTGAGTGGTACAGTTTACAGTACTAACTGTGTAGCCACCGCGCATAATATGAATTATGGCGTGGAAAAAGTCGCAGCAAACAACATGCAATGAATTTTCTAGATTAAACCGAATTTTTTTTTTTATTGTTTTTGTTTTTCTGTTTGTATGCATTGAATTTTTCAGTGCTTGTAGACATTTGGTTCATCGTTGTTGTTGTGGTGGTCGTTGTTTGGTGTTTGCTTGATTGCATTTCACATGAAAGCATTTTCAAAATGTATTAGCGAACACGAAAGCCAATTAAGCTGTTTGATTAAGTCAACTTTTTGTGGGTTTTCATTATAGTATGTTGCGTTTCCGTAAAAAGCCTTCTCTCTGTCGCGCGCACGATCGGTGTCGCTTGAATTTTTCAATGCGATTCCGATAAGCGAAAGTTTAAATATTGCGAAGAAGAAGGAGTCGAAGTGGAAAAGGGGTCGAAAATCCAAGGGAAAACTCCAAAAGGCTTTGGATAAAGGCAACCGAATGAATAACAAATGTGTTGTGCACCAACACAAAGTTGCTGTTCAAGGCGTACGAATGAATGAAATAGATTGCAACCGAAATACACGAAATATAGTAAATAGTGTACGAGTTCATAATTCGGCAACGAGACCAGCACACAAAAGGAATGAAAAACGAGCACAAGAAGAAAAACAACAACAACAACAAGCGAAGAGCGCTGGCGACGGGCGCCAGTCTTTAAAGTCGAAATGAATAAAGTACATCCCTCTTGCGAATGAATGAATGAATTTTTCGGGGGTTGTAAAACATCTCTTACATAAACGAATTGGCATTTAGGACAGAGGAAAGAGAGAGAAACAGAGAAATATAATTTAAACAAACTTAAATCAAGAGTGTTTTTGGCTGTGATGGGATGGCGCCGGATATTGAATCAGCAGTTTTCGCTCTCTCTGTCTCTATGTTTAAGTATCTTTGAATGCGCCCTCAATATCGACTAATAGCTCTGCTTTCACATAAGAAGCCTTGTTGCGGCCGCATGTTCCCGGATAAAAGAGAACAGATTGTGGTAATTAAATACCATAATTAATAAATAAACCAACACCAATAGTTATTCGATTGCCGGTCGTTTGTGCATTGGATGCGGCGCACAAAACAATAAGGGTGCTGCTGTCTGCATATTTCGGTTCAGTCTGCGTCGACCACATAATTCGTCTTCATCATCGTCCCTTATCGCCCGTTTAAACTCAACAAAATGAGTGATTGGAACATGAAAAAGATAAAACAAGATGCGCTCTAAATACCATTTTACACAATCCGTTTATCGGTATCTCTGATTCATGCTGAGTGCACATTCGCCTGTTGAGGCGAAAAAAACGAAACCCTGCAAAATGTTTGCAATTTTCTTGTCGAAGACTACGATGAGGGTCGGTCTCAAATCGAACTCATTTTCCTTCGATACACAAATAAATGACTCAACAAATAGCAAAACATTCCGGAATTTTGGCAACATGTCGGCTGAAAATTGTCGATATTTCACATAATTATACGCTTAAAAAAATCATTGAAAACGATCGTTTTTCCCTTTTCGGCCATTGTCCATAGCATATTTTTTTGACCACTCGTTCCGTATCCCAGAGCGAAAAACAAAAAGAAATTATTGTCTTAGTGTGTACTTGTGAGTTTGAAACTAACACACACAGAGATTAAATGGATCAAGTAGGTGCGCGCAAACCTTTTTCTTTCGTTCATTCGGCCGTTCATTCGTTCCTTTGGTCGAAATTACGAAAAAAATGTAATCCTGTTAAAATGCAATTAGACTAAAAAAAAGGTATCATGCCGAGACATATCATTGAGTCTAGATTTGGTTGGAATGATGCGGATCGGCTCCAGTTAACAATTTTCCCATGTGCTCACACAACACATGACTCTGACCGACTCTGGCTCTGACGCTCGCAATGATATAATGAAGATTGCTGTGGCGCGAATACCAGTGATATTCAATGCACACACTAAATAGGTGTGATGAATGTTTTGTTGTTTTAACTATAATTCACCATGGCGCAAAGAACAAAAGGATGCTCGAGCAGTCGATTGACGGCATCAAGTAAGGAGACTCAATGAAAAATGATTACAAACGAAAGGAACAATAATAATGAAACGGTCGAGCGAGAAGGTAGATATCAAAAAGAAAGTAAGCATGATCTATTTCAATTTTTTGACGAATTTTCTGTTGTTTTTCTAAATGCCTTAACACAATGGAAAAAGTGGGCGAGATCGTGTCGCGTCACTGTTAATACACAATAATCCGGTACACCATCAAAATTTTGTATAAACAAAAGTCAGAGAGAGAGAGAGAGAGAGAGAGAGAGAGAGAGAGAGAGAGAGAGAATCGAAAAAGAAAGCACATCAGACAGACCAAATAATAGAAAATCACCATTTTTATTTATTTTACCATTGAAAAGAGATTATCGATTGATTTGCTGTGTACGTTGAAACAATGAGCTAAGTCAAGGCAGACGTGAACGGGAGAGAAAAAAAACTCCGACAAAAATGACTTGGCAAAAACTAGCGCGCTCAAATTTGTAGTTGCGAAGAGCGGCTGGGAGTGAGGCAGAGTCAGAGTCAGAACGGCATTGGGTGCATACGGTACAACAATACGCATGATGATCAAGATTATTTGAAAATAATACTGTAAGAGAGAGAGAGGGAGAAAGAGAAAGAGAGAGAGCCAATGCTCGTTCTTTGCTCATTAAAATCGATTATTTACTTTTAACGTTTTTGTTTCGTTCCGAACAAATTTGGTTGAGTACTAATCAAATGGTTCGATATTGAGAAACGGCAGACGATGTTTTTTTTCTGCTTTCTGAATATTCATTTGGTGCAACCTTAAACAATCAATTTTTCTCTTCACCCCTTTATCTCATCATTTCGATCAATTGCCAGCGATTACTTCGCATTTTGATTCGGATCCACTCTGATCCACTCAATGAGTAGTTGAAAGTACGAAACAATTATCGGTAGCATTGTAAGAAGAGACGAGAGTGAGGAAAAAACACGTCGGTGTAACGAAATGAAACGTTGAGCTTCTGTTTTGTGGCAGACATGGTCTGGTCAGTGTGGTGTTCGTTTGTCGGCATTTTATCACTTTTTCGCTTCTGTTCCTCTCTTTTCGGTTGGAGATCGTTTGTTCGCTGCAAAACTCCAAATGGTTGGAGCTTGCTGCTTTTTCGGGCCCATCTTCAATATAATGGTTATAATTTTTTTTTTTTTCATTGAAGCCTTCAATGAGCTATTAAACGAATGATTACATAGTACGACAGCGATAAAACACGAGAATCAAGTATTGGTTTTTGAATTGTGGAACAAAAATGATTACATGAAACTTGATTGTTATTACCGAAGACGGTATGAGAATTGGCTAAACCGATTTTTTGAATAATAATTATCGGCTTTTCTCTCTCATTCTCGTTGAATAAACGGTCAATTTTCGAATTTGGTACAAAGAGATTTTTCGCCCTTTTTCCCCCATTCGATTTCAAAACACACACACACACACACAAAAACACCGAGTGAAAAATATGAAAACACCGAGAAAAAAACCCGTCCATGGTTCGAAGTTTAAATGTACTACTTAATAGATCTATTAGTATTTTCGATGGAGCAAAAGCCTTTTCAATTCCACAATAATTAAGGGGTACAAACTGAAAATATTATATTTGAACAAAAAAAATGAACAGGTACCAGTAAGCCATGGACAAATTATACACAATGTAAACGATAAGTTTAGCTAAAATATATGGTATGATGGCTTTCGAGATTAACCCGTCACTTGCATCAAACCGTCAACTTTCTGTTCATTAAAATCGGCCCGCTTAATTCAATGGTTGCCATCTTTTTTTGTTCATCGATTCAGTTTCTCCATACGTACACTTTTGATCACACAATACGGCCATAATTGGCGTTCAAAACATACACATCTTCCTAATTGAGAGTCTCCGTCTGTCTCATCGATGGGGAAAAAACCTGCCGATAATTAACTAATAGTTTTTAATTGAATGAAAATGCGCGCACCAAATTCAGCTTAATCGCGATGTGTATTTTTGGAAGTAAAAAAGTGGTTAGAAAAAAAAACCAAGGGAACAATTGGCTTGGGTCAAAGGCGTGTTTTCGGACCTTTTCTCTCTCTCTCTCTCTCTCGGCTTCTGGATGTAACAATTCAACATGTAACCTTTGCACAACGACCAAAGACGTGATTCGTCAATTGAACGACTTTGGCTCATCGTCTTCATCTTTTGGTATTAGCTCATCGTTTCTTTGAAAAGCGTTCGGTTCTTCAATTGAAAACAAATCAATTAAATTTGAAGCGCTGTTTTTTTTGCGTCAAAAGTTTTTTTGTTCGCACCACCAAAGAAGAAGAAAAAAACACATGATTACCTAACCTTTTGGTCGATTCTTTTTAAACGGTTGCAAAATGGCCTGACTCATCACGCCGTATGCCGAAATATCGTCGTTGAAATATTTAACGAAATCGTAGCATTTATGGAGATGAGCTCAACAGGAAAGAAGCCGAAAAAAAACTACCGCAGCCCATTAAAAAGTAATGAAATAAAAGGTTTTTCGGTCGAATTGATTACAACGATTTTTGTTGTCTCAATTATGCAAACACGGTAACATTGGATGGATGTTCGACGCAGAAATCGTTCAAATTGAATTTTAAAATATACAGAAGGAAATTAAATATGGACGCCTTTTCAATCGAATGGCCCGAAAAATGATACCATTAATATATCACAAAAGGTGTGAATTTTAAACGAACTAATAAAAATCGCTCGCTTTTACGATCATGAAAGGGATTATCATATTTTTGGAGACGAGCAACGCTCGCCAAGCATGTGTTTGCCAAATGGAAAGCAACAATAAAAGATAATATTAATCGCCGTCATCAACATTTCATTAAACCAAAAAATAAACCATGGTATTGGTTCATATGCAAATGTTTTTTTTCTTCTTTTCTCTGTGAAAAACATGCTCTGCGCTCGCGCTTTTATTCGCGCATTGAACGAGTTGTGGTATCGAATGCGAATTCACTAAAGTGTTAATAATTTATACAAATGAACCACGAACAACAACAATAGAAACGCAACGAACAATTATGAAATGTGCGCTCAATCCAAACGGATTTATTAGCGTTTGTCGCCCGATGCTCGTGTTGTCTCTGTATTATAATAGGAATTTTATTGGCTGCATCTATTATTCGTAATTTGCATGATTTTGTTTAAAAAAAAACAGCCACACACATATACACTAAAAACATGCAAATCATATTGAAATGGCCAAGAATGCGAAAGGCGATGAGAATGAGAAGGATGTGGCCCAATCAAAATGCCACTTCCATCAGAATAATTACAGTAATTTAATTTCGTTTTTGAGCTTAATGAATTGATTTATTATAAATTGTATGATGAATGAAAATAGTTTGTGTATGCAAATGAAGCCATTGCTTTGCTTTGCTTTGCTTTGGTTCGCACAAAAGAATTATACACAAATAGAGACATCGTCACTTTTTAACTCCTTTTTGCCTCTGCGATGCAGAGCAGCAGAAAAAAAAACCAACTGTCTCGGGGAACGATTCATTTTACGATTTGTATTTCATTTTTTTTCGTATCGTTTTGTTGGCCCGAATTAGAGACACTGTTTGTTTTATTGCGTGTTGTGCTCGTGCACAGACAATGTAAATACACGCCAAATATGAATTTTATGGGTTCCATTCCGTTGTATGACGAATTTTAAATACCATTCCGAAACGATTTTCCGAATATCATTTAGAAACGATATCGTTTTTTAAAAGCATTTTACACACAGAGAGAGCGCAAGACCAACGACAATATAAATTCCAAATGCATGTGAAAAAAGCGCTCGCTCGCTTGCTTCGACAAACTGAGAGAAGAAACCACCATAAATCATAATATTGTTGTTCTTTTTCACTCTCGTTCAAGAGCCATCGTTCAGCGTCCTTTTTACAACATTTTAACTGACGACGACGACGACAACGACAACAACAACAACAACAACAGCAACGACGACGACTAGTAGCTGCAACAGCAGGGTAGCTACTCACAAAACGTTGTTGAGTGTTTAAGTGGTAATCATCGAGTGTTTTTCGAGAGCGTGCAAATCTTTTATGTATTTTTATATATCATCGCATCCGAGTGTGTTGACTTTCTCTCCTCTCATTCTCTGTATTGCCGCAATACTCACTCTCACACAGGGTAGAGCGACGAAAAAAGCGCGTCACCGAGTGTGAGAAGTCAATAAACATGGGTAAATCATGTTTCAATACGACAATGGAAAACAACGGCAGCACACAGTTTTTGTTCCGTCTTTCTGGTGTATTCGGGAGTATCATCGTTTATTTGAATTTATGGTGAACCATGCGACTGTTTGCAAGCCACTGAATCGCTGCGTTTTCTTTCTTTCTCTCTCAATTTCCCTATGTTTCATGGTTCTTCAATTGTTTCTCCGATGGATGTGATTTCAGAAATAAAACGGCAACCAACCACGGGTTGGCTGGCTCTCGTTCGCTTGCTGGCATTCTCCTCTCCTTCCCTGGCTCGCAATACTTTGAATTGCATGGCAAATTGTTGACAGCCGCCTGATGATTTATTGGAATTGGCTTTGAATTGCATCTCTCGCCAAATGATATACAAATCTTTCGTATGAATAATTTTTTTTCTTCTCTCGCTCTCTCTCACTCTCCTCAAAATGATTTTGCTTTTATTTTTTCTTCTTTTTTAGTGGCTTCTGATTATTTCCACAAGTCTCGCGCGATTCTTCGGTTGCGCGTGACCACAACAGAAGCCAAAATGCTCACCACAGTTTCGATTTTCAACGCGGTTTACGCTAAATTTATTTATCTTTATTGTTTATTTGTGCCGTAGTCTTCTTTGCAAATTACTGTTTATTCAGTTTGCTCGTCGATTGCTCGTTAGCGTGCGTGATCTTGTGAAATGCTGATGGTTCTGCTCAGTTCATTCGATCCACGATACATTCGTTCATACGTTTTACACGTTCATAACATCTCAATTTTTGGTGAATTTGAGAAAGAAATCCAAATGCGATAGAGCGAAAAGAGAAAAGAGTGATGGACTCACCTTCGATTCTGATACCATGTCTTCACTTGTGTGTCACTTAAGCCTAATTTATTCGCTAATTCCATGCGATCCTGAACACTTAGATACTTTTGCCGTTCGAATGATTTCTCCAACGTTTGCAATTGATGATCGGTGAATGCGGTTCGGGCTTTTCGTTGCTTTTTGCTCAAGCCAGATGAGCCCGATAGACTTCCCAAACCGCTTTTAATACTGCCACCGTCATCATCTTTGCCACCTGGAAAGGAAGGAGAGAAAAGAGAAAAAAAACCACGTGAATTGTTGTAATAAAACGTAAATTCAAAAGTAATTAAAAAGGCACGCACACATTGCCAGGGGCCGAATGCCCATTTAAACACACTTAACAATGCATACACACTCAGCATGGTTTTGTTGCTAGTACTTTGATAAATAAATAAAAACAAGAAAGACTTATTGCTGAAATGAGTAAGAGAGAGAGTGAGAGTGAGTCCAGAGTAAAAGAGTCACCCTTAAATGCTCATGTGAAAATAGTTATTGATTATGCGCCGAATGACATTGCAGAAAGTCCAAATTATGAACAAAAAGAGAGAGAAAAAACGGTTCCACTTCATATTGATATAATTACGTTTGTATAGTTTCCTAATGTGGCTGGGGGCTGTTTTTTCGCTCTTTCGAAAGTTGATTTTTGCCATTGTTCAACTGTTTATTATTCAAAGTTTCTATTTGCTCATTTTTTTCTCTCTTTTTTTTCCACTTCTCAATGGACTTGTCTTGTGCATTGTCATGGAGTGCTGCAGTTTTAACGACAATTTCCCGACCTTTTTTGTCACTGTGTTCGGTCGATGAGTAAAAAGAGAGAAATGCCATTTAGACTAGATCAAATGAAGGAACAAGCGATGTGGTGAATGAAGAGGGAGCGTGTGGTGCAAATAGGCTAAATTACGTGATTATATTGCTTTTAATAGCATTCAAATGTGTACACCAATGTCAAATAATCATGATTTCATTTAATTTTCCGTCGCTTTTTTTCTCTTTCTTTACATAATCCAATGAATAACTATATCATTTGCGGTTCTTTTTTATATTCGACCGAAGCATTCAAAATAAAATTGAACGGTGGCACTCTTGAAACGAGAAAGTTAATGACAGATACTATACTGCGTATTCGATGGGTTTGAGAGTCTATCAATTATGATTACGTGGCACTTTTTTCGGCCAGTTGTCGGTTAAGCGTTATATGCCTTCAGCTGTTTATATTCCAAATAATTTAGTATTATTTTCAATAGAAGAAAAAAAATCGCATTTTGATGCTTGTCATCGTCTATGGGAATGCAATTTGATGAATATGTCAATGGAACAAACTCAGCGAATGGGCCAAACGAATGCAAACCGTCGCGCGCGATCGAGAAATTATCGAACGTTTAACACAAATTTTCATTCATCCGCTTTCACCCGAGCCGAGCCCAAAAAATCGGCCCATCAACATTGGTAATAGAATTAAAAGTGTGTAATTAATGCGAACAATGGCTGTAATGACATTCGGAACATACAGGAAAAAAACGCACACTCAAATTATTATCCATCTGTGATATTCGATATTGTTATCTCTATGAAAACCATTTTACCGTCAATTTTTTCGGATGAATATTTTTTCGGGCTAATTTTATTGTTTTGTTTATCACAATCTATTGTGATGATGGCCATAGAATGGTGGACGGGAAAAAAATACCTCGGTTATTGATGAAAAATATGGTTCGTTGTTCCGGGCTAAAGCGTATCAAATTGGACCATTACGTCCACTATTGTTCTTCTCAAATGCCAGTAATTTTTTTCGTTTACGATGGATGGCCACATTACAGTCCATTCAGTTGTCTATTCTTTCCTGAGCAGCATTGAGAAAACATTCTTTTCGTAGGAAAAAAAAAACGATATCTTTTGGTAGAAGATTCGCTTTGTTGCCTTACAAAGCTACCGCTTTTTCGTTCCAAAAAAAAAACGTTTCATCATCAAAGTCAACGCTGAAAATTTGTGACAAAGCATAAAGTTTCATTTATTATGGAATTTGCCATGAATTTGGCACAGATACTTCATATAAGCGTATGACAGTCATATCACTTCTAGCGCTGCGAAACAAGTGTCAAAAGCTGTGACTCAGATCGTTCAATGTTTACTGCAAACTATTGCATGTTTTTTTATACTATTTGTTAATAAAGTAGACATAAACAAAATAAAAATGTCACTAATGTGCAAAATTGATTTTAGTGAGAGCGTAGCAGGTGATAAACCTCAATTTTATAAGTAAAAAACTTGTTTTTTTTATTTCAGAACATTTTTGATGAGTTCATTCAGTCGCATTTATGAGTGCGTCTAACGACGTAAACGAATTGAAATAAACTTCACTGAATGAGCTCATCGCAAATTCGTATTTTACTTTGTTTTGTTAGTGTTATGCATAGGTTGCGGAATTTGGTCAATTCGTTCGCGATCATCCACCGGAAAATTCATAGTTTAATAATAATAAAATCAAACTTTTTCGAGGTGGAGAGAGAGCGAAAAAACAAACCATCGAATCAAACTCTGTGTAAATTGCCACTTTTCGTAATAAAATGATACACAATGAATGCCGGAGCGAGCAGTTGATTTCCCTATCGAACAAAAGATGCGGAAAAAACCGAATCGAATACTCGCGCCGCGATAATTTATAATCGCGATCATTTTCTGTATAATTTTCGACATTTTTCATTGTATGAAATCATTAAAGCGATTTATACCGAACCGTTTTGAGATATTCAGCTTTTATAATAAATTTTCGGAACGCAAATTATCAGAAAAATGGAGACGATAATTGTTGGATTTTAAACATGTTTGTTCGATGAAAAGGTAGGCTTGGTGCTGTCGACGTGCCACAATTATCTCATCGACAATTTCTGCTCCAATTTTCTTTGAGTGAGGTAAATTTGGCTAGCTCATGGAGGAAGTTGAATGGCCGCCGATTGTCGACGTTTCGGCAACAGTTCATTGATGATTGGTGTCAAGTGGTCTTTCTCTTTTAGAAAACCCGCAGTCGCAGCCGCCGTTGAACACCGAAAAACATTCAATTCAAGTTTGTACTCATTGAAATCTGATTAATCCGAATCCCCACACTCTAATTTCACATTACGATCGCATTTCACTACGATCTAGTTCATAATTTTCTAATAAACAATTATTCAAAATAGAAAAAAATTTATATGTTTATCACTTGCTCAAAATCTCTTTCTCGCTGGCGGTTATTGTTGTTGTTGTTGTTGTTTTTTGTTTTTACATAATACACTTCAAGTGGAGCAATTATGTTGTGGCTGCTTCATTTGTGTTGTTTGTATGCAGTTCGCTTTTTTTTCCTCCTTCGACACAAACACACAAAACAATTTCCCACGGCAATTGGCTTATTCATGTTGTGAGCGCGCACAACGTCACCATTTCTCGAAACGCGCAACATGCACCATGCACATAACGCGAAGAACAAACGCCGAATGAATTCACTAATAAACGCATTTAATTATTCGTAGATTTTTTCCAAAGAGATACCAGACAACAACAGAAAAGAAATTATTTTGCCGTATTTTCGATTCGGTCTTTTTTTTTGTATACACAATGTTGAACAGATGGATTTTCCGCAGGTTCTGTTTGGGCCCTATCATGCGTACGTTGGATCATTTTCTGTGTTCAATGCATTCAACTTTTGCATGCTGCTGCTGCTGTCAAGTTTTTGTTGGTGTTGCTGCTGCTCATTTGCGTGATTATTGCGTAATCTATGCTTGTGATCTCGAAAATACTCGGAACTGGTCATTTGTTTGTATTCGTAAACTCGCATCATACACACACACTGACCATGGTGTGCGGGGGGAGGTTTGTTTTTTCAAACGACTCGTTGAAATTAGACAAATGGGAAATTCATTTGCACAAGGGAAACGTGTAAATTTGATTTGATCGAAGCTCGAGGTATAATTCGATGTTAATTTCATTCCAACGAATGGGAAAAAAAATCGCGTCTCGTTTACAAAGTAACCAGAATTGGTGGGTTCTTTTTTTGTTCTACCGTTAAAACTGAAAATTGCAGTTGCGATAAAATCCCATTCAAATTTAAAATTCATCAACGATAAAAAATGCGGTGCGCGCTCTAGGATTGAAATGTTGCGGAAGCCAAACATTGGCAGTGAAGTGAATAGATCTATAAGTGCCGATGGACATATGAAAAAAACAGCGTATGCTTACTGCAACCTTAAGCATGTTTTTTGGTTCAGTGCATTGAAGAGAAAGAGAGCGAGAGAGAGAGAGAGAGAGAGAGAGAGAGAGAGAAAACGGCACCGTTTTTCCACCGTCGAGCAATTAACTTTGTACAAAACAGTTTTCATCTTTAATGATTTCTTTTTCGTTGTTTTTTTTTTGCTTCTCGTGTATTGTTTCATCATTTTCCCCTGTGTTTCTGCCGCATCGAAGAAGAAAAAAACACTCGAGCCACAATTGTGTTTTGGAATGCAGCGAGAACAAACAAGAAAAATGCAAGAAACTTACGAACAAAATGATCTAATTTTTTATTCTAATTGATGCGCCGTCGTTAACTAAGTAACTTTTGGTGCATATTTCGAAACAAAATGCTGCTAAAGCGCGCGACTCTGAACGCTTCAAACCCATTTCGACTCAATTGACTGACTTTTCTCCCAATTCCGTTCTTCTTCTACCCATTCATCGTGTGTTGTAGCAGAAATCAAGGAAAAATAAAACGATTTTCGTTTAAGATAATAACCGAGAGCGGCCGATTCGCCGTTGGAATCGCGTACAATCGAATTATAAAAGGGGGTGAAAGCCAAACCTGACAAAGTCGTGTTAAATTTATTGGTTTGTGCGCAGCGCATTGCGATACACAACTTACGACGTTTGCTCGGTGTATTCCTCTCTCTCCCTCTCACTCTCTCTCTCTTGGTCTTGGTGCTCGTTTTTTTGTTGCTGAATGTCGAAGATGGAGCTAAACAATAAAAGTGATTGACTGGGTTTTGAAAGGCGACTACCAAAGCGAGAAAAAAAATAGAGAAGAGCAGAAAAAAACACACCACGCTCAAAAGAAAACCAGAATAAACGCACGTTTAAGCTCGAAACATAGTCTTCTAAGCAAACGCTCGTTCTCTCTCTCTCTCTCTCGGAATTGATACAATAAAAATTATAATTATTGCGCGCTGGTGTGTAAACTTTTAAATAAAATTAAGAATATTTAACGAA